AAGAAGCGAATGCTGTAGCCGCCAAAGAACTGAAAGACAACCAGATAAGCCTACTGTCCGATGTCTCCACCATGAAGAAAGACCTGACAGAAACCAAAGAAAAGCTAACGAAGTCAAGCGAAGAATGCATCAAACTTAGAGCAGCACTCCAAGCCACAAACAAAATTATCGACGCCAGAGAAAACGCCAAGAAGGAAAAGGAAAGAAAAAAGCAGTTTCTCGAATGCTTCGCCAACGCAAAGAAAGAAAGAGAAAAGGCAGCTGAAAAAGCACAGCAGGAGGAAGACAGAATAGCAATAGAGACAGCAGACAAAGAAGAAGCAAAGAAACTGACAGCAGAAAACTTAGCCAAACAAGAGAAAGCAAAAGAAGCGCTCAAGAAAGTGACCAACAGCAAACCGTTTACATTCGACTACAACGGCCCACTCACTACGACAGCCCATACACAAGCCGCCATGACAGCTGAACAAGCCCACCCATCAGCCCGGAGAAACCTCCCAGCTCGCAACAAGCCAGGAATGATGTCCACCGCCAAATTGATTCCCACCCTACCCGATCCAGACCGCCCCAGGCTATGGTCTGCCGTTTTTGGAGCAGACTGAGACCCCCTCCTACACTCTGAAAACAGCAACCTTGGGCGTAATATAAACGCCGCAACAGAAACGTGACGTTAATTGGAAAACGAATTCCAAGCAGAAAAACAGTCTTCGAAATAACAACAGCTCAATCTCTGAGCAATTTAAAAGAAGCGCGAATTTTTTTTTGTTTATTGGTCCTCATCACTTGTGATCAGGGCCGGATTACGACCTGCTGATGTCGTAAGCACTTAAAAGATGGTGGTGCCTCTTACCCACCCACCCCGCTCCCAGAACCGCCTTAACAGAATTATTGCCATTATGGCTCCCTGGGAAAACTAGTGTGTTGCAGCTCCTACGACAAGCACAGAAATAAAATGCAGTCACTTGACATATAGGCCTACAGATTAGAGTGGGGGGTCCCTTTGCTCGCCAGGCCCCAGAGGTGCCAACGGTCCCATGTCTAAAGACAGTACAGGTGCTCTCATGTGTGTGTGTGTGTATGCGCGCGCGCGCGTGTAATTCACAATATAAGCTCCCCCCCCCACCCCCCCCCCTCGCGAACCCCCATCTCTTTAAAAAAAAAAACTGCATTTACCGAAATAAAACAAACGTGTGTCTATTTGGATATTCTTCCACTTTATTTATATTTAAAAAGTTTCTCCTACTTTTAATTTGAACTGCAAAGTCTATGATCAATTGCTCAAAACTGATCTTATGTAACACATTTGCTTCTAAGCTTGATTGACGGAGGTAAGACATCCAGCCGGCCTATTTACATTGTTGTTTTGATAGATTTTGTAAAATCATCATATCAAATAGTCAGCCGAGAAAATCAACACTAAGCTCCAAGGCCAATTCAGTTTTGTTGTACCAGCTCTTTTTTTGTGATGCAATAAACGAGCGCTTAGTATGCTCAACCAGGCGCTGCCTGCGATGTGCGGAAAATGAAAAAATATTTACACTTCTGTTCCATAAGACATTTAGGAGTGCAGACTGGGGTTAGCAAACAAGGATAAAGGCCGCCTTATTAATCAATACAGAACGGCTGCAATAAGTCGTCACACACCCGTGCAGCTGATGAGGAGGAGTTTGGAGCACATAAGGATCTGCCCGGAGTGCTGTCTGTCAGTCAGCCAGGCGCTGTCTCCACTATGAAGGTTGGCTGCAATGGATCTCCAACAAGCCCTGTCTCTTGCCCTTGATGTACACTCACTCATACTGCTGTTCGTCCTTCTCTTGATGTTATCCTCCCACTTGTAACGCTGTCTGCCTTTTGCTCGCCTACCTTGAACCTTTCCCTCTAGGATGATCTTTACAATACTGTTATGTCTTTTAATGTGGCCAAAATATTTCACTTGTCTCTTTTTTTTTCACCTAGCAACTCTCTTTTCATTCCCAATTTCCTCAGTACCTCTGTATTTGATAGCTTTTGTTTCCATGAAATACGACCTAATCTTCTGTATATCCACATCTCCAAAGAATTGATACTATTTTCCAGTTGTTTGTTCATTGTCCATGTCTCTGTGCCATACAGTAAGGCTGAGAATACATAACATTTGACAATTCTCATTTTTAATGTATTGCTTATTTCTCTTGATGTCAATAACTTTTGCATGTTGTTGAAAATGTTTTTGGCCATCCCTATTTTTTTCTTGACTTCTGTTTCACTTCTGCCGTCACATGTTATTACTTGTCCAAGATATAAGAAATTTTTAACTTGTTCCAATTTCACCCCGTTCAGTGTGATATTCATTGTTAGCTGATTATTTCCTTTGCTAAATATCACGGTTTTTGTCTTTTTCAAATTAATATCTAATCCAAATTCTGCACTCCTTCTGTTTACTTGCTCCACTAGGTCTTGCAACTCCTGCGCACTCTCTGCTAGCAACACTGTGTCGTCAGCATATCTCCGATTGTTTTTTATTCTACCATTGATGTGCAGTCCTGGTAATGGAGTGCTGTCTGGACAGTCCTCACAAATCACAACAGAAACTGTTTCCATGAAATACGACCTAATCTTCTGTATATCAAATCAGATTTCAACAGCAATCACAACACTGCAGATACCTTAAGAACTTGCCTCAAGAAATCGCGCAGCACTGCTCCAGGCCCTGACGGCATCCGATACAACGACATGCTGATGATGTCGAATGCTGATTTGAAAAGCGTGGCAAAGGAATTCAATATCAGCATCCAGAGTGGCCAGATACAAGAGGAATGGCTCCATAGTTATTTGTTCCCACTACCAAAGCCTAATAAAGACCACTCAAAGATCTGCGGCTACAGAATCATCTCGATGCAGAATACTGTTGGCAAACTTTTGGAAAAAATTGTCGCACAAAGATTGACCACCTACTTGGAACTACATGATAAGTTCCCACCAACACTTGGAGGGTACAGGTTAAATAAAGAGACATGGTTCAATGCTGCATTTTCGCCTACGATGTGTACGAGGGATTTCAGATTAAAGAAGAGACATGTGCGGCAGTGTTGGACTTAGAAGATGCCTACAAAAAAGTACCATATGATTATTTAATGTAATTACTGCTTAAACTAGAAGTTAATCCTATTCTGATCCGCTGGATTGCTGCGGTCCTGTTCCAGAGAAAAATGTACTAAGATGTGGTAGCTGGTCCTCAGAACCGCAAACGATATGTCCAGGCTTGCCACAGGGATCACCGCTATCACCAGTCTTATTCAACGTTTATACGGTGATGATCACTGAGCAGCAGTTGAATGGAAGGGGAAGGACTTTGTCATTTGCTGATGACATTTTGATTTATCGACGAGGGCGTGATAGACAGGAGATCGCCAGCACTATGCACAAAGAACTCGATCGAATTGCCGCCTGGTGTGATGGTTCCAATGCCTATGTCAATCCTTCGAAGGCATCAGTGTCATGGTTCTCTTTGAACAATCACATTGTCAAGTCGGACTTACCAGAAGTGAAAATGCGTGATAATGTATTGATCAGAACCAACGTTATGACGTTTCTCGGGGTGAGGTTCGATCGCAGCTTGTCATTCAGGGAACACGTTGACCATGTGATAACAAAAGCACGCAAAGGTCTATCTGCAATGAGGATTATGGCTGCTTCTAATATTGAGCAAAGACTACTAATACTTCTATTCTACGGTGTGGTCCTTTCCCCCATTGAATACGCTCTGGCCATCCTCACTGTCAGTGCTACCCAGATTGAACGACTCGAAAAGGTGCAAAATGAAGCCATGCGCATTATTTTGGGATGTACAAGAGACACATCCTGTGGAGCAATGAGGTATCTACTTGACTTTCCAACAATGAACCAAAGGATCATGATGTGGAGGGCTCGGGCATATCTCAAATTATGTGCTGTTAAGAAACACCCACTGCATCAAGAGCTTTTTAGTGACAAGGGCGACAGACTGAAGAGGGGGAAATCGTTGCTAGGTCGGGCAGAAGATGTTAGGCAAATATGCAGCCTAACCGACATCATACCTGGTGCAGAATGGATACCTGTGCCTCAGGCGTTTATTTGTACATTTTCCTGTATTGTCACACTCAACAGGCGATGTAGAGAAGAGAATCCTGTTGCTGTTAATGCAGAGGTCAACGCTCTCATCGGTGAAAATTCGGACTAAGCAGATGCAATAATCTATACAGATGGATCCGTTATACGCCAAAGAAGAAGCGCATGGACATTTACAGCACGCTCAGCGGGCAGAACAGTCAAAGAAGCCAACGGCGCCTTCTCCATGACAACCAGCAGCATGACGATGGAGGTGATGGCAGTGACGCAAGCGCTTGCCTGGCTTGAAACACAAAAATACACCCGCATATGTATACTCAGTGATTCAATGAGTATGATCCGGAGGGTTCAGGCAGGTTCAGTGCGAAGACAATGGCTTCAATCATTACAGAAGTCCACTGTTTGTGGAGTCACCTTTATTTTTGTTCCGGGACACGCAGGCGTCGATGGAAATGAAAGAGCTGACAGGTTGGCTGGATCCGCTATCACTACCGACGGTCAGCCTATGGATCATGCTGATATTATCAATGCCCTCAGAGAAATGGGAAGGATAGAGGACTTTGGTGGCAGTGAATCCACATCACTCACCAGAATGGCAGACTTGGGAATTAAGATCGGCACAGCAAAAAACGAGACGCACACCAGACGACTTGTTAATCAACATAGAACTGGTACTATTAGCCATCGGACGTTGGGTTTCATACTGAGGGGAGGATCTGAGCACCTATGGACATGTCCGGAGTGCAATGAGGATAACCCAACTAACTAACTAACTAACACAACAGAAAATAGTTCCGTTGGTTTGTTGGGGTCCAGTTGGGGACAACTTTTTAATTCTAGGTTGTTTACAAATGGCGGCAGAAGAACGAAATGGAGAAAGTTCCGACTTGGACTCCGTTTCTTTGTTAGCAGACATGGAATCCTGCTCAATTCCACGATCTTCTGGAGATTCAGATATCTCATCAGCTTCACATTCTAGAGCCCCGTCACTTCCAAGTTACCTGATCGTGCAGAGACAGATGCAGGACGTGCTGCTTGTGCAGAGGGCCGCTGTGGAACAACTGGTCCGGAACAATGTAGGCAGTTTGATGTTTACTGTTTAGTGAAAGTGACTGTAGTCTACATCACGCGACTTTTTCTGAGTTTCTCCAATGAAGTATGAAGTATAAAATCGGTATTTTTTCAACGGAGCTCAGAAATTGTCATTTACTCTTTGAGTCCCAGGGGGTTTAGCATCAGAGGCCCAAGGGGTAGTACTAATGCAATTATTAAATTGTACAAGTGGGCTATCCTCCGAATAACAGTCTGAAATTATCTGAAATATACCCTAACAGGGCCTCAGTCAAATGTAATTGTGGACGTCTTTCTGGCGACTATACCACATACTGTGGAAAAGATTCCACCGAGTTAAAGTCGCTGCATGACTCGGAGAGGGGACTAAACTAGATGACTGAGACTCAGGAGCAGCAGCTACCAAATCTCTTGCAGCTTCCTTCATTTTATTTGCTCATGAGTCTTAGCCATCTAGTTTAGTCCCCTTTGCGCCGCGCGTAGCGGTGTGGGGGATACTCTCAGCGGTGGCGGTATAGTCGACATTAAAACAGACAACATTAATTCCCCTGCCAAGCAACATACACATATTATACATAAAGGTGACCGGGGATTGTTGGGAAATAATAATAAAATGCTGCTACAACAAATAGTTGAATTAGTAATTAAATAGTAAATAAACAGATGGTATGTTTACAGAAATTAGTAACAGGAAATAAAAAAATTTCAACTCACCGCCATGCCACTCAAGGAAAACTCACTTAAATATATCCAAACTGAATCACAAATGAATATGAACCACTTAGTAATGTATAAGTAAAATATAAAATCAATCTGAGCATTAGATAATGTTCCAGAGAATCTTTTGAAGCATCATAACATAGAAAACTGGCATAAATCCACCATGAACGTACAGACAGAATTTTATTAGAGATAGAACTTGATGACGGTGATATGCCATTGTCACTGACTAGATGTCATCTTCTAGATATGGCTCTTGTGGCCTGTAAAGTCTGCTTCCTCTTCATGTCACAGATGTTTTCTAAACTTTACTTTGGCAGATAGATGTTCTGAATGAAAGCAAGACAAGTTTTGACAAAGTTGTGTCATCGCGGGATGAAAGGATGAGAATGCTGGAGGTAAGTTCATGTAGCAACTAGATGTTGGCTCCCGTGCCGACCCGGCCTTAAATGGGGACCAGAAAACATCCTAGGGGGTAAAGATCACCGCAATGATGCTGACCACATCATCATCCCTCCCCCACCCCCATCTGGCCAAGTGCCGATTGGTCTATAAAATAGTGGTCTAGCCCTATATGCCCAAATATACCTGCAGGTGTGGAAAATGAATGGTATCAATGGCTTTACTTTTACTTGTATTTCTTAGTGGAGGATTGACCCCCAACCAGTTCACTGGAGGATTGACCCCCAACCAGTTTCACTGGAGAATTGACACCCCCCCCCCCCCCCAACCAGTTTGCTGGAGGATTGACCCCCAACCAGTTCACTGGAGGATTGACCCCCAGCCAGTTTACTGGAGGATGGACCCCCAGCCAGTTCACTGGAGGATTGACCCCCCAACCAGTTTACTGGAGGATTGACCCCCAACAAGTTCACTGGACGATTGACCCCCCAACCAGTTCACTGGAGGATCGACCCCCAACCAGTTTACACTAGGTCCCTTGTATTTTGCCATTTACTGTAGCTTCCTTTATGTCTGCCTTCATCTCTGACTTAAGTTTATCTATAAGTATCACTATCTTGGACTATTTCCTATGAATTCTGAGATCTTCATCTTAGTTTTCACTGGCTGTAAACTTCAGTGGAAAGTCCTGGTTCTGTGTCCACTTTGGGACTTCAGTTTTGTTGCGGCACTTGAGTTTTGCATGCACATCTGTTTTACATATCTAGATTTTTATATGTGGACTGTTGGTTGCCCAGCTGTTAGGCAAATGTGCTTTGACTCCAAAGAAAACCCCCCTAAATAGTAATCTCCTTTTTTGACTAGCTAGGTGGCAAGAGGGGTGTTCTCCCCCCCCCCCCTCCCTTTTTTTTTTGACTAGCTAGGTGGCAAGAGGGGTATTCCCCCCCCCCCCTCCCCCCTTCCCAATGTCCCTAGAAGCTCCACTGGGAATTGTGAGTGCGTAGTTATCCTGACCTCTCTTCAAATGTGGTAATTGTGCCAGGGATTTCACATGTGAGATAATACAAATTATTTGTTACCTTTTCATAAGCATGATAAAAATCTGCTTCACATGGTTTATTCTGCATTTTGTTTTTAATTGTCTTCATTTAGCTGTTTTTAATTGTCCTCTGTTTGTTTTTACAACACAGAAGTAACAAGGCAAGAAACACTGATGCCATGCTTCCACTGGTGGACACACATCCATAGATTTGTCATCTGAAGCAACTAGCAGTGTTTTTGATCAACCTATCCCATATCTTAGGGGTCTATGATATCATTTACATACATTTTTTTTTCTGTTAAGTCATTACATCATGAGATTTAGGGAAATCCCATCCTATAGTGGAGTTAGGGTTCGTTGTAGTCGCTATACATTAAACACTGGCCCTAACCCTAACACCAAATGTAGTCAATTTTATGAGACACACACACACACACACACACACATGTATATAATAGGTTCTTCAGTATTACTACTGGAAAAGTACGGATTCCCTGGCAGACCTTTGATAATAAGAGGGATCAGTTGGATCTTTGCTAATTGGGAAACAGTGTTTTAGTTCTAGCTATCTGCTGCCTGAAGTTGTGTGTTACAGGTGAACTTGTTTCTGTCCACAGAAATCTATCACACAGGATTATGTGCCCAAGGTCGAGTATGATTCCTTGAGGATGGAAGTCCAGGTAGTATGCTTTGTGGCAGTTGTTGCTTGTCTGATGTCACAATTGTTGCTTGTCTGATGTCACAATTGTTGCTTCTCTGATGTCACAGTTGTTGCTTGTCTGATGTCACAATTGTTGCTTCTCTGATGTCACAATTGTTGCTTGTCTGATGTTACAATTGTGGCTTGTCTGATGTCACAATTATTGCTTGTCTGATGTCACAATTGTTGCTTGTCTGATGTCACAATTGTTGCTTGTCTGATGTCACAATTGTTGTTTGTCTGATGTCACAATTGTTGCTTGTCTGATGTCACAATTGTTGCTTCTCTGATGTCACAATTGTTGCTTGTCTGATGTTACAATTGTGGCTTGTCTGATGTCACAATTATTGCTTGTCTGATGTCACAATTGTTGCTTGTCTGATGTCACAATTGTTGCTTGTCTGATGTCACAATTGTTGTTTGTCTGATGTCACAATTGTTGCTTGTCTGATGTCACAATTGTTGTTTGTCTGATGTCACAATTGTTGTTTGTCTGTTGTCATAATTGTTATGTTATCACAATTCAGCATCACAGCACATTTGGGAATTCCCATGCATGCTCAGTCCTCTGATGCAGCAGCCACTCCAAGGTACTTCTACTAATTGTTTGTATTAGGGCTATACCGAATAGTGATTTTCACTATTCGGCCGAATACGTATAGTGGGACCAACTATTCGGCCGAATACGAATACGAATAGTGTATCATCATCATCAGGTGCCTTGCCGACTGGTGTTGGCGATTTTGCCTCGCCACAATCTGCGATCTCCTGCAGCATGTATCAGTTCATGTGCTGACACACCTCCATGACATGCAACAAGACTGTCAAGAATCTTCTCTCGTTGTGTTTATCTATCTCTCCTTCCACAGATCTTTCCAGTGGTCACCACATGTTCCATTTTCACTCTTCTTATAAGATGGCCGAAAAATGATGACTGTCTCCTTCTGATATCTGCGATTAGTTGTCTTCGGGCTCCCTCCTCTTTCAAAACCTAGTGGTTGCTTTTATTAGGCTGTCCAAGGTATTTTAAGCATTATTCTGTAAAACCACATCTCTGAGGCCTCAAAAAATTGTTTGGCCTGGCTACCGATTGTCCAGGACTCATAGCCATATGTTAAAACTGGATGTATGTAGCAAGCAAGACAAAGATATATTGCATAAGATGTTCTTTTTTTATATAAAATGCAGTTTTTGCCTGTCCTATTTTGTTTTTAATTTTAGTAATGCATCTTTCATCTGATTTTATCCATGTGCCAAATTGGCACTTAAATCATCGTTTGTTCAGGCGTTCGTTCGATGTAATTTAAATGCACCTCCATTTTATCGTTCGCAATATCTTCAATTTGATTTGGGAAAAGACACCCCGAAAGAACGAAAAAAAGCATGCTCTATCTCTCTCTCTCTCTCTCTCTCTCTCTCTCTCTCTCTCTCTCTCTCTCTCTCTCTCTCTCTCTCTCTCTCTCTCTCTCTCTCTCTCTCTCTCTCACACACACACACACACACAGATACACTTTCAAGTTTCTTCATGCCTTCTTTAACACAACAGTAGCATTGCCTAAATCTGTCGTAGCGGGAAAAACTGCGACCCGGTTGCGTGGTAACAGCGCCTGCTGACTCCTAGGCATTACAGCAGAGGTTCTAAAACTGGATGCGTATGCCAGGGGTGCCGCGGCGAAAATCAAGAAAAGTCGGCTATAAATTGTGACATTATTAATGAGAGAGTTATTTCAGTCCATCGCAGTGTATGCAGAAATCACTATTCGTATTCGGCCCGACTGCCACTATTCGGCCGAATACTGAATAGCTATTAGGTCCACTATTCGGCCCTGAAGCGAATATTCGGTACAGCCCTAGTTTGTATGAGAAGTTGGTTATACTATCTCCTATCTAGGCCTTGAAGGTGTCATAGACATGCTCACAATGCTTTACTCCCAAGTCACGCAATCATGTTAATGTCAGAGATTCATCTTTATCCACTAGCCCAGTCCATACAGCGTTGACGGTATCTGCTCTGTCCATGCTTCTGCCCACATGCAGTGGTGCATTGCTTTCTGGTTGGTCAGCTCGATCATTATTCTTTACGCTTGCATGACCAAGTGTGTTATGAGTTACGAGTTAGATTATCTTCACAGCACTCCGGACACATCCATAGGTGCTCAGATTCCCCTCTCAACATATTCATCAGTGTCATGCGTGTAATAGTGCCAGTCCTATGTTGGTTAACAAGACTTTGTGTGCATCCGTTGTGCTTCTCATGCTTGGCTGTGCAGATCTTTACTACCAATTCACGTATTCTTAGCAGTGATGTGGACACGTTGAGAGGCTTCTTCCACATATGATGTTAAAAGGAAAGGTGGGGAGGGGGGGTGCAGCAATGTTGTGTTGTGGTTTACAGTTAGGCTGTGATGTCTGTGCATTTTGATTTTGACCAACCACTTCTAGTTTCAGCAAACCACTAATTAGTTGCCTTATGCATTATAGAGTTAAGTGCTCAGTGCAACACTGTGAGCTGTGTATTTCAAGCAGAATGCTTCTCATCTGTGTCCAGTCAGTTATTTTCATGATATTGAGACAATTTAGGGTGGCTAGGTTGAGTCTGGGCTGGTGAAGTACATTGTGCCACACACACAAATATATATATATATAAAAAAAATTATATATGTACGGCCAACTGGTCATGACTGATTACGTCCATCAAAGACAAATTCCAGTTCTTGTAATCATTGTTGGTGTTTGCACCTATAGTGGCTGCCTTATGCATTTACTCTGCGTGTTTCTCTGTTTTGTCAGCACTTGCTCAAGATAGTTCAATAGTTTTTAGATTTAACAGTAAAGGGAATTGTTTAGGATTTTTAATGATCCAGGAACAGAGCAATTATGTAGCGACCTGTCTGTAGCGAAGTTGAAACCTTGAACCTGACGACCAACTAACAGCGGCAACATGAACATACTAGATGTTCAACCTAGCAGGAGAAGACAAGGCTTGTCAGATTATCGTTAACTCTTTGAGTCCCAAGAAATGCATCATAGGTTCATATGTTACTGTCTAGAAGCCCAATGAATGCATGATGCGCCGATTTTACGTCTCTCTTGACTACCCCTTGGGCCTGTGGTGCTAAACCCTCTGGGACTCAAAGAGTTAGGCTGTATCACTTTTTACATTTGGCAACATGGAATACAGTGTCACTGAAAACTGGCTAACTGTAGGACATCAACAGAGAAATGGGAGGTCTTGTCATCAACCATCAACATATTAGACCTATGTGAAACATGTTAGGCAAATCTAATAAGACCTGTTCTGGGTTTTTTTCTTTTATTTCACCCCATCTCGGAGACTCTGAGATTTTATATGCAGTTTCTGGGAAAGTCTAATAGTATAAGGGTGTTATGTTATGAAATGTACACCTACTTAAACTAACCCTAACCCTAAACACACACCCCACGGCCCCCTACCCCCATAATATTAGACTTCTGCAGGAGCTTCCTATGAAATCTCAGTCTCCAAGATGGGGGGAAATAAAAGAAAAGTGCCATATTCAGTGTCTAGCTATGTGCTACCATTGTCAAACATGTACCTTGACTACAATTAATGAACACGGAGATTCATAATAACAGAGATGAGATGTCTTAGAAGAGCTGCTGGTATAACAAGATATCATGTGAGCTGGCCAGCCATGACCATCTGTGATCTGTGATAATTGGCCTGTCACATGATGATGATGAAAGCTGTGTGAGGTTAATGTATTTATGATTCGATGTTTTGGTACTGAACTTGTGTCTTTCTCTTGTTATCCAGGAGAATTGTGTACCCAAAGAAGACCTGGATACTGTTGAGAAGAATCTAGAGGTAGTTACCATCTATTACTGATCATTGGTGTTATTTGTTTTACTGGTCCTTGTGTTTCTTTCTTTGACTTGAGTATTTTGCCACATCCTGGGTGTTTGAGGGAAACATATTAGATGTGAGACAAGTCAGGATGTTACAGTAATTCATGTCTTGTCCTGCTGTATAAACGTTCAAATGTTAGACCTTCATGTGAGGCGTATTTTTAAGCAAGTCCCATTCTGACCGCAACGACAAACACCGATGGAAAACGTTAATGTGCATATGCAGTATGTTTATGTGGTTCATTAGCTAGCTGTGTGTTATTTTTTTCATTGTTGAAATCTTGTTTGATGCTGCATGTGAGTGATTTATAATTAGTGCAACTTGTTTGATGCTGCATGTGAGTGATTTATAATTAGTGCAACTTGTTTGATGCTGCATGTGAGTGATTTATAATTAGTGCAACTTGTTTGATGCTGCGTGTGAGTGATTTATAATTAGTGCAAAAATAAGTACTCCCACCAGCTGCGAGGTTCACGCTGTGATCTGTTTTTAGTTAGCCCAAAACAAAAACAAAAATTGTGCTGCATAAATTTACAGGCATTCAGGTTTATGGGCCAGAGGTTGTGACTGGTTGTTTAGGTATTGTTGAATGTTTAAAGAAGGGTGAACTTATATCCATGATGAAGTTTGTATCAGTCGGCTGAGTGTGGTGACAAACGATTTGGTCAAAGAAGTGAACCAAAAAAATTCAGGGAAATCGTCGTTCCGCAATTTCTGGTTTTTCTGTCAAATTTTCAGAAGTTTCACTTTTACTGATTTATGACATTGTGACAAGAAACCTTGGTTTAAAAAAATTTGTTTGCCAGATGGGTACCGAAAATTGTAACCGATGAACACAAGAAAAAAGGCCTGGTTTCGGCTCATACACTTTTGCAGCGCTGTCAAAATAAGGGAGATGACGGAAATTGTTGACCAATCGCTCTACAGTCCCAATCTGGTGCCAAGTGATTACCACCTTTTCATGCAGCTACAGAAGAGGCAGACATCCCAGTAGTTTGAAACTGTTGATGAACTGCAGGCAGGCGTTAATAAATGGTTCAAAACACTGATGGCAGACTCCTATGACATTGGAGTTAAGAACCTGGTTCCACAATACCAAAAATGTGTTGAAGTTTGTTGAGAAATAATATATGGTCTCACTTTTGGCTGCAATAAATAATTTGTATATATGATGTTTTTTTTTTTTTTTTAATTTGATACTGGAACTTACTTTAAAAAAAAAACATCTCGTGTATACTAGCTTACAGCATGTGTGGTTACTTAGTGAGAATTGCGAGAACCAAGTGATGACTAAATCTGTGACCATGGCCAGACTGCAAGAACAAACTTCAGTATTGCATAGGTTATGTATTAATTGTAAACGATTGTAGGAATGTAATTGTAAAGTTCAATATATTTTAATGTACTTTAAAAATAACTGTGATAATCATATTATGAAATCTATCTTTGCAGATATTTAAAGTAGCCTGGGATACCATCATTATGTCGTACAGTATATATTTAAAGTAGCCTGGGATACCATCATTCTGTCTTACAGTATATATTTAAAGTAGTCTGGGATACCGTCATTCTGTCGTACAATGTCCGAACACCTCTGATATGCAAACCTTTGTTCTGGTGATATACTGTGTGAACCTTGCTGTCCCCGGCATGTTTTCTGTTTTCAGACTTATTACTTCTTCTTCTCCTCCTTCTTCTTCCTCACTTTCTCCTTTATCACTTCAGGTGTTAAGGATATATAAGGTATTGCTTCTTGTGCCATTCTGATAACCTCAAACACAGACACATCAGACTGTTGTAGAGTTTCTCTGATGTTATCTTTCATCTTCTTGGTCTACCTCAACCACAGACACATCAGACTGTTGTAGAGTTTCTCTGATGTTATCTCTCATCTTCTTGGTCTACCTCAACCACAGACACATCAGACTGTTGTAGAGTTTCTCTGATGTTATCTCTCATCTTCTTGGTCTACCTCAACTACAGACACATCAGACTGTTGTAGAGTTTCTCTGATGTTATCTTTCATCTTGTACTTGGTCTACCTCAACCACAGACACATCAGACTGTTGTAGAGTTTCGCTGATGTTATCTCTCATCTTGTACTTGGTCTACCTCAACCACAGACACATCAGACTTTTGTAGAGTTTCTCTGATGTTATCTTTCATCTTGTACTTGGTCTACCTCAACCACAGACACATCAGACTGTTGTAGAGTTTCTCTGATGTTATCTCTCATATTGTACTTGGTCTACCTCAACCACAGACACATCAGACTGTTGTAGAGTTTCTCTGATGTTATCTTTCATCTTGTACTTGGTCTACCTCAACTACAGACACATCAGACTGTTGTAGAGTTTCTCTGATGTTATCTTTCATCTTGTGCTTGGTCTGACTCAACTACAGACTCATCAGACTGTTGTAGAGTTTCGCTGATGTTAGCTTTCATCTTGTTCTTGGTCTGCCTCAACCACAGACACATCAGACTGTTGTAGAGTTTCTCTGATGTTATCTCTCATCATATACTTGGTCTACCTCAACCACAGACACATCAGACTGTTGTAGAGTTTCTGTGATGTTATCTTTCTTCTTGTACTTGGTCTGCCTTGTGCTCTATGTCTTTCTCCTCTTATGATGTCAAAAGGCATTCTCTGTAAGTGGGCAAACCATTTGATTTGTTGTCTGTAGGTATAATTTAGAATTAATTATGTCCTTACTTTGCCTCTTAGGACCTAATTCCTGTTTTGTATTTCTTCTGGTGGCTTCTGCAGCCCTTCTCAAACACTTTATTTCCATTGTTGATAATTCTCTTGTCTGGTTTGTTGTGAGTGACCATTTCTTGAACTGATAGTATAAAGTGGGAAGAAACTTTTTGCAGTGGGTCATCATAGAAATATTGTTTTACTTTGCTTATCAGCATGACAAATGACAACGAGTGCATCTTAATTTTGGTGACCAATGCATGGAGGAATTAACCTGTAACCTCTGGCTTGTAAACTGGTAGGCTAGTTCGTTATCACAGACATCTGTATGTAGTTACCACAGACATCTGAATGTTGTACCAGGGCTTACTGTTGATCTCCAAGGCACATTTTCTGTGTTATGATTGACTGCTATTGATTAGCCAAATCTATCTGTTTTTAATTATGTGTTTTATGCCTTCTGTTTCCATGGCAGCAAGAGTATAAGCATCGCAGCCAGACGGAGGCCAGGCTTCAGGAAGCACAGGGCAAACTTGATGCTGCACTTCGTCAAGTTGCAGCTCTGACAAAACAGACACAGGAAGATCATTTGATTTTTCATACAACGTTAGTTGCCTGTTTTATTTATTTGTGTGCTTGCTGTCTTTACATTGGTATTATATAAAAATATATATTTTTTTTATTATCTCACTTTTCTTGTTTGGAAGGGCCAAATATAAGAAAGGCCTGTATGCCCATTTTGTGACTCTTTTAAAATAAAGTTAGTTTGATTGTCTTATTTGTATTATATCATTGGCAAAATTTTATTTTTATAATTCATTGTAACTATGTCTCATTTTGAGCACGATAGAGAGATCAGTTGAGATACAGTAAGACTTTTACTTATGCTTTATAGATGACACTATGTTGACAGGGAAACTGATAAATTCATAAAATTGGTAACGATAATATTCACTGAAATGGATTAGCAGCATCGGAAATAGAAAATGAAGGGGACAGCTATGAACAGATAAAGCAAGAAGTAAGACAAGGATGTGGGATAAAACAAGAAGTAAGACAAGAATGTGTGATAAAGCAAGAAGTAAGACAAGGATATGTGATAAAGCAAGAAGTAAGACAAGGATGTGTGATAAAGCAAGAAGTAAGACAAGGATGTGTGATAAAGCAAGAAGTAAGACAAGGATGTGTGATAAAGCAAGAAGTAAAACAAGGATGTGTGATAAAGCAAGAATGAAAGAGAAGGATGTGTGATAAAGCAAGAAGAAAGACAAGGATGTGTGATAAAGCAAGAAGTAAGACAAGGATGTGTGATAAAGCAAGAAGTAAGACAAGGATGTGTGATAAAGCATGATCAGTATGTGTCAGCCCATGATCAGCCCATGATCGGCCCATGATCTGAATGTGTCAGCCCATGATCAGCCCATAAACAGCCCATGATCAGTCCATGATCAGCCAATGATCAGTCTATGACCAGTATGTGTCAGTCCATGATCAGCCTAAGATCAGCTCATTATCAGCCCAGGATCAGCCCATTATCAGTCCATGATCAGCCCATGATCAGCCCATGATCGGTATGTGTCAGGCATTTGTTTTCATAGGTGACGTTTGAGTTTGAGGCAAATTTACTTGAAAATTTGGATGTTTAAGTTTTGAGATGTTTGAATTCTCAAGCACTATTGTATTGTGAAGCTTTAATCTAGTCACTTTAGTGTCATTCCCCTCCGTCTCTGTTTTGTTTCTTATTGTTGATTGCTGATGAAGGTTAGTTGCCACAGCATGCTAGTTGGTTTTTTTAAAGTTTATATTTACCTCAGGTTTTCACAGCTTTACTACAGTTCAGATCATTTCTTTTATTACATAAACATTTTCTTCTTCTTCTTCTGCCTTTTTATCCCCCAATGGAGCATAGGCCCTCAACCAACTCACGCCAAGTCGTTCTATCCTTCGCCATTACATGGAGCTCTCCCCATGTCCTCCCAATCTTTCTAACTTCATTCTCCAGCTCTCTTCTCCATGTGTTTTTTTGGCCTTCCTTTATTCCTATGCCCCTGTGGGTTCCAATGCAAAGACATTCTAGTTATGCTGTTCTCCTGTTTTTTCAGTGTTTGCCCTATCCAACGCCAGCGTCTTTTCCTCACCTCCTGATCCACTGGAGCCTGTTTAGTTCTCTCCCAAAGTTCTACATTAGTTATTCTATCATACCATTTTATTCCCTCTATTCTGCGCAGGCACCAGTTAATGAATGTCTGTAATTTATTAGTAATTGCCTTCGTTGTTCTCCATGTTTCCGCCCCATACAATAGTACTGATTTGACATTAGAATTAAAAATTTTTAGTTTAGTATTTCTTTTAATTTCTTTTGACCTCCACAAATTCCCTAGTGCTATGAAAGCCCCTCTTGCCTTTTGTATTCTTATTTTAATATCTCTATCAGTTCCTCCATCTTTATCTACATTACTGCCCAAATAGGTGTACGACTCCACGTCTTGAAGTGGGGTGCCATTAAGAGAAACCACATTACTATTTGCCTGATTTATTCTTATTATCTTTGTCTTTCCTTTATGGATTTTCAGACCAAGCTGCTGTGATCTCGCATTGAGTATATTTAATTTATCTTGTATCTGATTTCGCGAATGGGACAGAAGGGCAATATCATCAGCGAAGTCCAGATCATCAAGCTGTTTTGTAGGGGTCCACTGAATTCCATTCTTGGTGTTAGCAGTTACTGTTTTCATAGTCCAATCTATAGCCAGTAAAAATAGGAGAGGCGACAAAAGACATCCCTGTCGCACACCTGTTTTTATTTCAAATGCAATTGTTAGCTTTCCCTCATGAAGAACTCGACATTTCATGTCTTTATATGTTGCCTTTACTAAGTTGATAATTTTCTGTGGGATTCCATAGTGCCCCATCAATTTCCAGAGAGATTCCCTATCAATGCTGTCAAATTCTTTTTTATAGTCTATAAATCCAATGTAAAGTGGTGAGTTCAGTTCAATGCTTTGCTCTATTATAATACGTAATGTGGCTATCTGATCAGTACAGGATCTGTTTGACCGAAAACCTGCCTGCTCATTTCATCAATAGCATCTTTTAATCTTTCCAAAATAATTCTACTTAATATTTTTCCAGGAACTGACAGCAACATAATTCCTCTATAGTTTTCACACTCCTGTAGATCACCTTTTTTGGGCAGTTTCACAAGATATCCTTCTCTCCAGTCTGCTGGTATTTCTTCGGTCTCCCAGACTTTACTGAATAATCTATGTAGCAATTCTGTTGATGTGTTTATGTTGGTCCTGATGGCTTCAGCTGGGATACCATCTGGACCTGACGCCTTTCCTTCCTTAAGAAGATTTAATACTTTTCTAATTTCCTCTTTAGATTTTATCTCACAGTTGATATCCAGTTCCATCTCTAAAAGGCTGGATATCTGGGGGAACCTATGGGCCTGGTCTATTTAGAAGCATTTCAAAATATTCAACCCATCTGTCCATTTGATCTTTAGTGTTAGTAAGTACCTTTCCTTGACTATTTTTGATTGATCCAGTTGGCTGACTATATTTACCTACTAATTTTCTTGTGTTACTGTAAAGTTCTCTGAGGTTTCCTTTTGCTGCTGCTGTCTCCGCTTCTTGTGCTTGATCATTTAGATATTTCATTTCTTTTATTACATAAACATTTTCTTACCACCATTTTATTTCCTTCATTTATTGATAAATATTAAAATATTTAAAAAAAAAATAAAATTAAAAAAATTATTGATAATATACTATACAAAAGCATTTGACTGTGTGGAACATGAAGAAGTAATCAAACTGTTCGAAAAATTAAACATTGATGGAAAAATCTACAAATAATAAAGAATATGTATTGGCAGCAAACAGCAGCTATAAGAATTAACAATTGTTTAGGTACTTCAGAGCATAAAGAGGGGTGTATGACAAGGATGTGTACTTTCACCTGATTTGTTTTCACTACACAGTGAATATATAATGAGATCTCCAATTGATATGTCTGAAATTGTGGTTCGTAGGCACAATGTAAATAATTTACGATATGCTGATGACACAGTTTTGATAGCAACAAGTCAAGACAAATCTACAGGAAATGATAGACATTGTGGTGATAGAAAGTGGAAGAACAGGCCTCAGTAAATAATGAGAAGACTGAAGTAATGGTGGTATCAAAGAAAAGAATTATTCCTAAATATGTAATAAAAGTCAGTGGTGTTATTTTGGGACAAGTACAGAAATTTAAGTATCTAGGCACATGGATAACATCAGATGGAAGATGCATGAGATAAGAAACAGAATAGGACAGGACAGGCAAAAACTGCATTTTATCAAATGAAAAACATCTTATGCAATATATCTTTATCATTGAGGGTTAGAAAAAAAATTCTTGCTTGCTATAAAGATCCAGTTTTAACATATGGCTATGAATCCTGGACAATCGGTAGGCAGGCTAAACAATTTCTTGAGGCCTCAGAGATGTGGTTTTACAGAAGAATGCTTAAAATACCTTGTACAGCCAAAAAGAGCAACCAGGAGGTTTTGAGAGAGGCAGAAGCCCAAAGACAACTTATCACAGACATCAGAAGGAGACAGTCATCATTTTTCGGCCATGTTATAAGAAGAGGGAAAATGGAATATGTTGTGACCACTGGAAAGATCTGTGGAAGGAGGAGTAGAGGAAGACAATGAGAGAAGATTCTAGACAGTCTTGATGCATGGCATGGAGGTGTTTTGGCACACAAACTGATACAAGCTGCAGGAGATCGCAGATTATGGAGAGGCATGATCGCCCATGCCAGTCGGCAAGGCACATCATAATTTTGCTCATTCATTTATAGTAACAAAAAGTCGACTGCATTGAACATGAGCACAACTGATGTTTTAACAGAAAACAATCATTTATTTTATTGTGATGGCCCTACAGATGTGACAGTCTCAGAGAAGAAATACTTGAGCTGCAAGCAAGAAATCAAGATCTAGAGTCAAGATTAGCAGGTTTGTCTTCTTTCTTTGACCGGTTTTTTGGTTATCTTATGTAAATATATCTTATGGGTATTGCCATACATGCTCAGTCCTCTGATGTAGCAGCCGCTCCAAGTTACTTTTACTGATTGTTTCCATGAGAGGTTTGGTTATAATATCTGCTGTCTCAGCCTTGAGACGAGATAAATATGCTTCACCATGCTCTACTCCAATGTCACGCAATCATGTTGGTGTCAGAGATTGGTCAGTATCAACTAGTCTAATCCTTACAGTGTTGATGGTATCAATCCATGCTTTTTCCTCATGCTTTGGTGCATTGCTTGCCAGTTGGTCTGCTCGCTCATTGTCCTTTATGCCGGCATAACCAGGTGGATAGATCCAGGTGAGGGAGGTTATGTGCAATTTTAGAGTGCTTTCAGAATGCATACTGCCTATTGCTATTATCTGAAGAATGTTCCTGGAGTCTGGTACAATTACTGTTTGTGTTTGCTCAGGTACAATTACTGTTTGTGTTTGCTCAGGTACAATTACTGTTTGTGTTTGCTCAGGTACAATTACTGTTTGTGTTTGCGCAGGTACAATTACTGTTTGTGTTTGCTCAGGTACAATTACTGTTTGTGTTTGCTCAGGTACAATTACTGTTTGTGTTTGCTCAGGTACAATTACTGTTTGTGTTTGCTTAGGTACAATTACTGTTTGTGTTTGCTCAGGTACAATTACTGTTTGTGTTTGCTCAGGTACAATTACTGTTTGTGTTTGCTCAGGTACAATTACTGTTTGTGTTTGCTCAGGTACAATTACTGTTTGTGTTTGCTCAGGTACAATTACTGTTTGTGTTTGCTCAGGTACAATTACTGTTTGTGTTTGCTCAGGTACAATTACTGTTTGTGTTTGCTCAGGTACAATTACTGTTTGTGTTTGCTCAGGTACAATTACTGTTTGTGTTTGCTCAGGTACAATTACTGTTTGTGTTTGCTCAGGTACAATTACTGTTTGTGTTTGCTCAGGTACAATTACTGTTTGTGTTTGCTCAGTTACAATTACTGTTTGTGTTTGCTCAGGTACAATTACTGTTTGTGTTTGCTCAGATGCCCATGCTAGTGCTCTAGAGTCTGGTACAATTACTGTTTGTGTTTGCTCAGATGCCCATGCTAGTGCTCTAGAGTCTGGTACAATTACTGTTTGTGTTTGCTCAGATGCCCATGCTAGGGCTCTAGAAGCAGCACTTGTCTCCACAGTCATGCTTGACGTGGTTGCCTGGTAAGCATCAGTGTCGTCTTTTGTTGTCCCCATTCTTTATGTTGTATATGCCCATGCTGACCTTGATCCACACTTTGCTGATCCATATGTGTAGATCATGATATCATCTGGGTGTGAATGTTGATCTATCCGGTTGTCCACGACTGCAGGAATTTGATCCCAGCAGTACCTTCCTAGTGTGACGATAACCTTAGAGGTGCCATGCATGTCTACTGGTGTGTTTGTCTATTCTTTTCAGTGACTGATCTCATCTGGCTCACATACCTGCTGGATTCAATCTCCAGCCTTGGCCATCTAGGAGTGGCCTCTTTTGAGGCGCATTCTCTTTGTGTCATGTATAGCTTTGAGCAGCATGTAGTTGGCATCTGCTGATACTCTCATATACACCTTGACCTGTGTAACTTTGTGCCTGTCAGCCATCGTCGGCAAACCCAGGACATATTGCATGGTGTGGCGGGAGGTCTCTTTTGTGCAGCCTAGTAGGAATTACATGGCCTCATTTTGTACTCGGTCCAAACTTTCTATTTGGGTTCTGCTGACAGTGAGGAGGCCCAGACCATTGTCATTGATGCGCAACACAAGCCCTTGATATAGAAGAAAAAGTAGGCGTTGTTCAATATTAGCTGCTCCTAGCACTTTGATTGCTGTAGGAATTTTCTTGGCTCTAAGTATGACGCTGTCTGCGTGATACTTGTATGACAAGCATCTGTCAAATGTTATGCCTAGGTATTTCATTTCAACCCAGGTATTTTGTCATGTCCATTCTCTTGATGTCCACACCACACATGCTTACTGCTAGCGTTGATGTACTGACAGTGTCGGCATTCACAGAGAATCATGTTAAGGAGGCCATTGTTCTTATCCTGGTGGATACTCAGTCTCTTAGACTGCGTTAGCCACACTCAAGTGCGTTTCCATCCTCTGCTGCAAGGTGGTACAGGTGGGACGTTTGCCTTCATGGGAATGTGAGATCAGGGGGACATTGTCCATGTTCTGTGAATACGTGTGGAGGACCCTTTCTACATCACGTTAAACAAACACGGGCAGTTAGGTTTGTTGCGTATCCTTTACAGGATGTTGCAGAACCAACCCCAAAAGTCCCTGGCTGTTGTGTGGTTTTTCTAGGCAAATTTACGTCTTGTAGTTTGCCATTGCTTTCTGGAGGGTAGGCTTTCTTGATACCACTGTCGAAACCAAAGCAAGGCGCATGGCCCGCAGCTGGGATCGAACTCGGCATCCCGGAGCGTTCGCATCGACTTAGCCACAGAGCCGACTACACGGGCAGTAGTGACTTAAAATCTGCATGTTCATTAAAGAATCATCTAGGAAGCATAACCTGTTTATCCAATAGTACCATGGCTGAAGGGATCATGTGTTTCTGATCCTGGCTCAAACCATGACTCAAATTGTCATTATTTATACTTCTCCATCTTTATTAGCTGTGGTAGCATAGTTATTAGCAGGGCTTTTTTCTGGCAGTATGCAAAGGTAAACAGTACTGGTACCTTTGATAGGCATCACTTTGTCATCGCTACTATAATAGAGACCCTTTGTGTTGAGTGCTAGTCACTGTGTTGATTACTGAATACTTTGTGTTGAGTGCTAGTCACTGTGTTGATTACTGAATACTTTGTGTTGAGTACTAGTCACTGTGTTGATTACTGAATACTTTGTGTTGAGTACTAGTCACTGTGTTGATTACTGAATACTTTGTGTTGAGTACTAGTCACTGTGTTGATTACTGAATACTTTGTGTTGACTACTAGTCACTGTGTTGATTACTGAATACTTTGTGTTGAGTGCTAGTCACTGTGTTGATTACTGAATACTTTGTGTTGACTACTAGTCACTGTGTTGATTACTGAATACTTTGTGTTGACTACTAGTCACTGCGTTGATTACTGATTACTTTGTTGAGTGCTAGTCACTGTGTTGATTACTGATTACTTTGTTGAGTGCTAGTCACTGTGTTGATTACTGAATACTTTGTGTTGACTACTAGTCACTGTGTTGATTACTGATTACTTTGTTGAGTGCTAGTCACTGCGTTGATTACTGATTACTTTGTGTTAAGTGCTACTCACTGTGTTGATTACTGAATACTTTGTGTTAAGTGCTACTCACTGTGTTGATTACTGAATACTCTGTGTTGAGTACTAGTCACTGTGTTGATTACTGAATACTTTGTGTTGAGTACTAGTCACTGTGTTGATTACTGAATACTTTGTGTTGAGTACTAGTCACTGTGTTGATTACTGAATACTTTGTGTTGAGTACTAGTCACTGTGTTGATTACTGAATACTTTGTGTTGAGTGCTAGTCACTGTGTTGATTACTGATTACTTTGTTGAGTGCTAGTCACTGTGTTGATTACTGAATACTTTGTGTTGAGTACTAGTCACTGTGTTGATTACTGAATAATTTGTGTTGAGTGCTAGTCACTGTGTTGATTACTGTATACTTTGTATTGAGTACTAGTCACTGTGTTGATTACTGAATACTTTGTGTTGAGTACTAGTCACTGTGTTGATTACTGAATAATTTGTGTTGAGTGCTAGTCACTGTGTTGATTACTGAATAATTTGTGTTGAGTGCTAGTCACTGTGTTGATTACTGAATACTTTGTATTGAGTACTAGTCACTGTGTTGATTACTGAATACTTTGTGTTGAGTGCTAGGCACTGTGTTGATTACTGAATACTTTGTGTTGAGTACTAGTCACTGTGTTGATTACTGAATACTTTGTGTTAAGTGCTTCTCACTGTGTTGATTACTGAATACTTTGTGTTAAGTGCTACTCACTGTGTTGATTACTGAATACTTTGTGTTGAGTACTAGTCACTGTGTTGATTACTGAATACTTTGTGTTGAGTACTAGTCACTGTGTTGATTACTGAATACTTTGTGTTGAGTACTAGTCACTGTGTTGATTACTGAATACTTTGTGTTGAGTACTAGTCACTGTGTTGATTACTGAATACTTTGTGTTGAGTACTAGTCACTGTGTTGATTACTGAATACTTTGTGTTGAGTACTAGTCACTGTGTTGATTACTGAATACTTTGTGTTGAGTACTAGTCACTGTGTTGATTACTGAATACTTTGTGTTAAGTGCTACTCACTGTGTTGATTACTGAATACTTTGTGTTGAGTGCTGGTCACTGTGTTGATTACTGAATACTTTGTGTTGAGTACCAGCACTTTGTTTAGACATGTTATGTTGAATGCCAGGATCTTTTTTTCCCCCCTAGTTATATTTTCCCCCCTAGTTTTCCCTGGTTATAGAGCAATTGTCTGCCAAGAGAGTAGCTTTAGATGCATCGCTAGCAGCAAGGTCATTCACTGTTCTTACCGGTCAGATTCATGTCCTAGTTCTCAACCTTCCTAATGCTGCCACCCTTATACAATTCCTCATGTTGTGGTGACCCCCAACCATACAATTCCTCATGTTGTGGTGACCAACCATACAATTCCTCATGTTGTGGTGACCAACCATACAATTCCTCATGTTGTGGCAACCCCCAACCATACAATTCCTCATGTTGTGGTGACCCCCAACCATACAATTCCTCATGTTGTGGTGACCAACCATACAACTCCTCATGTTGTGGTGACCAACCATACAATTTCTCATGTTGTGGTGACCCCCAACCATACAACTCCTCATGTTGTGGTGACCCCCAACCATACAATTCCTCATGTTGTGGTGACCCCCAACCATACAATTCCTCATGTTGTGGTGACCCCCAACC